AATCGAAAAAATAAGGTGTTCCGTTTATTTTGGCCACGAGGATATATATATATAGTCAACGATAAAAGTTTAAGCGAATTTGTTCTTTTCAATTTTTTCTTACATTTGTTTTTTCATATTTTCTTTTACATTATTCAAGGGTATGGAGCTGTTTGAAATAGTGAGATAGATAGTGTGGAATGCCGGCTACATGATGCACTAAAATAAGAGAAGACTTTGTGAGTCTATACAGATTTTTCATAATTAAAATGATTTTTTTGGACGCAAGAATAGACTTAAGTGCTTTCCAGTATTTCGCATTTCCTAACCAAGCGATTTGCGCTAAAATAAAAAAAAGGTATAGACCAATCGATAGAGAATTTTATGCTCTACCATTTTCTACAAACCAATTTTTTTTTCCATAGCTCATCTTTACTTTCGAAATCTGATTTGAGTAAGAATAGGCGGCACACATAGAAAAGTGAAATCCTTCGATTCCCGTCATACTACAGTCTACAGATTTTAATTTTTTAAACAGTAGATTGTAGAGAGTTCTGTTTTTTTTTCTTTGAAAGGAGATATTTTATAGTTTTGTAAAACTTATAATTATCCTCAGATATGAGCGAATACGATGGGAATCGAGGGACTTGACTTTTCTATGTGTGCCGTCTATTCTTACTAAAATTAGATTTCGAAAGTAAAGGGTGTGAGTGTAAGTGTGGATATTTATAAAGAAAACGATGGCACCCATACCCATACTCACACCATACCCACACCCTTACGAGAAGATCCACACTCTTCGTTTGCAATAAGTTCTAATAGGCATAATATCACTCACCATTTCCGTCAAACTTCCACGATAATACAGTCTGATAAGAGACACTATGTGGCAGATAGGATAGTTGGTTGCCAGTATGCACAATGAAGATAACTTCGTAGTAAAAAAAAATCATCATTAAGAATGAAAAAGGCATAAAGTACTTATCGACATATGCAACTCTTCGTATTTAATATTGACGTCATTTCTACACAACGACGTTCTTCATGAGGGAAGATCTATGAGCAATTCAGGACGTAGTGTGTAATATCGTTTGTAGATATCCAGCGCAGCTTGGAAATTTATTTTCCACTTAATCAAAGAATCTAAACTATTTTGTCTCCTTTTTCTCTCTATCTAATGGATCACTAGATGCGACATACATAACATATTTATGGTATAGAGTTTCATTCGAAAGAAAAAAAAACATTTGTGAAGTGTCTTTTCAGATTCATCATACGATATGTCATGAAATCTTTTGATTTTAGCTTGCTGTGAAGAACTGACGTCAAGAACAGTGCTTAATTGCTGTTTCAAATACGCAAATAATTGAGAAAACAGACAATGTAAAAATTATAAGAAAAAATGGTTGAGGCATTGCACTTTTTTCGTATTCAATTTCGAACATCATATGTATGCATTAAAGCCCCCCCCCCCCCCAAAATAGACGGCCACCCTATATTAGAAGGCCACCCCCTGTATAAGGCCATGTCCGAGCAAAAGTTCAAACGCTCTATTAGAAGGCCATTTACTACTTGGGGCATACCAAAAGTAGTGAGGGAGGTACTTTTTTTCCTTGAAGCGGGGTAAAAAAAAAATTTCTTTTTTACCAATAGATAGAGCGTGTTTCACTCTATTTTTCTATGCTATTTGGTCACTATTAAACTGTTATCATTATTATAAAATTTCGATAAAATCTGTTTTTGTCGCATATACGCTGGTAGCATGAACATGAATGCTTGTGAATATTTTTGGAATAACTTTTGATAGAAACAAGATAGAGAACTGCGGTTTTCGTCATTGGAAAGAGGAGATGAAGACGCATCGAGCAATGCATTACTAATTTTTCTAACCTGCTTTTTGTAAGGTTTTAGGTCACCTTTTAAAGAGCGATTCCATTCCACGAGTAGTTTACAGTAAATTTTCAATAATTGTGTTCACATTCAAACCGCTTATCGGAGATCTACAGACTGCGAAAGGCTCAGCTGTTTAAATATAATTATTTATGGATAATACCTATTCTAGACGAACCTCTATGAAGATATTCTTGAAAATTTTTTGCTTTTTCTTTTTTTCATAAAACAAGCGTTTTTCTAATGATTAGAAAATTGAATAAAAAAAACCGTCAGAAATCATGTTAGAAAAATCAATAATATGTATTTCGATGCGTCTTCATCTCCTCTTTCCAATGGCGAAAACTGCAGTTCTCTATCTTGTTTTTATCAAAAGTTATTCCAAAAATACACACGAGCATTCATGCTACCAGCACATATGCGACAGAAACAGATCCTATCGAAATTTTATTATTATGATAACAGTTTAATAGTGACCAAATAGCATAGAAAAATAGAGTGAAACACGCTCTATCTATTGGTAAAAAAGAAATCTTTTTTGTACCCCGCTTCAAGGAAAAAAAGTACCTCCCTCACTACTTTTGGTATGCCCTAAGTAATTAATTAATATATTCCAAAATTATCGAAGTTTTTATAAATATTAATTAATAATTAAGGAAATATAACCGATTTTCTAATGTTTTTTTGCGAAATCTTTCCTTTCCTATCATAAATAGTACAATTTTTACAAAAGATGGTAGTTTTTTCAGCAAAAATCACCTAAATAGCAATAATTAAAGTTATTAATTAATTATTAATTTTTTAAATAATTTTAATTAAAAACTCGCCAAAAATTGACCCCCAATAGAAGGCCATCCAAAACGTAGCGATGTGCCAAGACACTGTATAAGGGCATGCCCTTTTATTCTGGGAGGGGGTTTACTTGAAAAACAAGAAGAAAATGTGATTTCTCATCCATCTTATTTTATCAAGATAGAACCAAAGCGTCTCATACCATATTGTACGATAAGTTTGAAAAGATACTTCTCAAATACGTGTAGCGATTGAAACTCTGTATAAATAACCTACTACATGTAACTGGTTAATCGAAGATGTTGAGCATATTTTTCAAAAACTTGAGATATAAGTTAAAGTTAGAAAGTTATACAATGCCCTTTTGTTTTACAAAAACGATAAATTAATCTACTTGTAAGACTTCACCAACTCACATATGTTGCTAACACAAATTATTCACCAATAGGATAAAGCTATTCTGTTCTTTACTATATATAGGTCAAAGGTCACCCACGAACGAATAAGCATCTATAGAGGGAGAAGTAAGATCGGTATAAAGTGCATAGGCATGTGACAAATCGGAAGGCGAAAACAGATTAAAACAAAAAAGAATAGAAGAATGGTCACAATGGTGGCAAACAGAATCCACTGTCCTTTATACATAATTCACTACTAAAATGTAAATAGAGTTTTCCTGCATTACATTAATCACAGAAACACTTGTTTTTTTTCCCTGTCTTTCGTTTTTTTTTCTAAAGGATAATGACTTAAAGATCTAGTGCTCGATGAACAAATGTGCATTAATGAAACATTTATTCTTTTCAGAATAATATACTAAACAAAAAAAAAGAAAAAAAGAAAATTTTCATTCTATCTTTCACACACATATATACTCATCTATTAATTTATTCTTTGTGTATGGAAAGAATAGTATCGTCAACTCGGCCACAAATAGTCCCGTTTATTCAAGTAAGTAATCTAGTCATATATTGAACATGTGATAATATATTTAATTTATATTGCTGTCAGACTTATAGGTAGTTAGTTAAAAATTGACCAAATTGAGAACACAATTAACTAATGATCTGTAGTTTTAACCCTTTGGCTACCGACATAAGAGAAGAAAGAAACGACTTTGCGGAAAATTTATTCAATTTTTATGGAACGATTCTATAGTATGCTTTTATCGAACAAATGTATGACAATAATTTGTCGTTCCAATACAATTTGGATAATAAAGAAGAAAATTTGCTTTTAAATTGACAACATTTTATGTTATTCGAATGAACAAATAGGTAATTCGATATTGGTCTAAAGTCTTTTTGCTTAAGGCATATACCAAAATCAAAACATTAGCGGAACGACTGTTGATTTTCAAGTAGTTTTTTTCAGTATTTGATAGAGAGAATTAACTTTTCAAATAATTTGGTATCATAATATATCTGAGAAGAAGACATCCTCATAGTGACTCTTTTGATTGTTAGTTGTTTGCATTCTCGGTTTTTTCTCAATTTTTAACCGAGTACGTTTAAGTCTAGTACTGAGAGGAGTTGTTAAGTCTTGCTAAATTTATATTGTTAAGGTAATCACCATAGTGATTGTAAGCCATCGTTGTCTTCTTAACTTTGTTTTCTATTGTTGTTAGTCACGTATTGAGTTAGAAAAGCTTTGATCTTAAGATACAAACAATTTCAATTAATTTTCTGCTTCCATGTTTTTTATAAATCCTATATAACATTCTTATATTTAGGTATCATCTCCAACTTATTTTCGAAAAATCAATAATATAGTTTGGTCGTTGACATTATTTGTATTTTTAATAGGATTCTATATCGGTTTAATTCCATTTATGTGTGGTCTTTGTCTTGCGAGATTACGCAATAGCATTGCAGATGAAATAGCACTTAAAACTAATAATATAGAACTCGAAGAATCTCTTGTTAATATAAATAACGACAAAGATCAATTTTTTCACTGTTTTATGAATAATACAACATTTGATGAATTAGAAATTTTGTTGAAGAAACAACAATATCAATTAAAACAAGACCAGATCTTCAAAAACATACGAACTATATTGAATTGTTTATCAATTATTAATTTAATTATTGCATTCGTTATATGGAGTGGATTAAAATTAATTATTTTCAATTCATTTATTACTTTTTTACTCCTATTTGGATCGATTTGTGTTGTCAATCAAATACATATGATTTATTTTCAATTATCAGTTTTAATTACATATACATTTGTATCTTTTCCATCATTTTATATTATAATAATCGACATGATAGAACTAAATCAGAGACAAACATAAACACACATAGATTAGAATAAGCGTTTTTATGATATTTTCATTGTGTGACTGTTGTTATACTTCTTTCATCATATAAAATACAAAAACGATAAAAAATAAAATAGATTTTATTCATTATAATATCTGATCGAAAATAGATTTACTAGAGCAATCTTTTGAAACATTTTAGATAATTTATTATTGTTATAATGTCAGCTTATTCCGATGCATTAGTAACAAGCACATCAAATAGAATTAATTTTCGTGATATAACAAGTAATTATTGAAAATTTTTAAGGCAATGAAATTTCTTTATTGTAATTTCAGATGACAAAATAAAAAAACTATGTTTTAATAAAATGGTAACGAGTAGATATACGTATGTATGAAATTGAAAACATTTCTTTAATAATCATTTATTTATTTGTAGAAACCACAACCTCTCAATTATTTAATAAATCAAAATAAGCATACAATATTATCTATCTGTTTTATTTTAATTATTATTTATTGTCAAATATTTTCGATTTTATATCCTATAATGTTAAATATTTACTCTAAACATGAATATTTTAATGAACAATTACAAATTGAAAACGAAAAATTAAATAAATTTAAACAAAAAGTAAGAGATATAAAATATGATCATGGATACCATGTTAGAAAAAATAATATAACTTGTCACAAATGTTCGCTTCACATTTGGAATTTAGATTTTGATTATATACTAAATCATATTGTGAAAAATAATAGACATATTAAAAAATCCTACGATGATATTCTATATCCATTACAATGTCTATTAATTCTAATTACTTTTATCAACACAATATGTATTATGATGATTTTTAAAGAACCAACTAAACTGTTTTTAACATCAAACTTATTGACTATAATATGTTTGTGTATATATGGAGAATTTTTTATTGAAAATAAACCAAATGTTTATTATCCATTAGTCATTGGTGTTGTTGTAATTTTATTTTCTTTTATTTTACTAATCAAAATACTTCTAACATTATTCAATATCATTGTTTATCAAAGAATAAAAAATATTTTAAGAGATCAATGGCAACTTCATATCGTGTAAAAGATGTTCATCAAAATAAAGTTACAATTGATTAACATATGAAAATTGTCTGCTTTTTCTTTTCTTTTTCTTTTTGTTTATTGATAGATCAATAATCTTTATTTCTTATTCTGTATATTCGAATATTGAATTCTCAAATATAAATAATATAAAATATGTTTTGAATGATTTGATAGAAGCATCTGTATTTTAAACTATTTTTTATGTTTAGTTCTGGACAAAAGTACTTGGAGCAGACGAAAAATTCTGTCATCCAGAAAAACAAAATATTCGACAGAAAGATATTTCATTTTTCTCACTACAGCAAATGTAAGAAGGAGTCATGGCAACGTTCAATACTAGGTCTAATCGAATTTTGAAATGTCTTTTTGTATTCCTCGGAAGGTATCAAGATGAGTCCTTGGTTATAGTTTAGTTGAACTTGTTACTGTAAGTACTGAAACCTTGGAGAGTATTCAAAGGACTGTGTGGGCGATTATATTATATAATCACTGGTGATGGGATGTCGATTTATCCTTGTAAGATTGGATGAAAGCAGCAACCAAAATTGTAAATAACAGAAGAAGAGACCTCTTCGTCTACTATGAAAAAAAGCACTATTTGTCATCTGTTTCATAACAACTAATGCGTTGTTTTTTTTTTCATCAGGTATATTCTAGGATATTTATTAAGATTATCTGATATTGTGATGAATGTTTAAAACTATTATTTATAAGGTTATTAAACAAAATGCCATTATCATGAACCATAACTATCACGATACCAACCATATATGAAAGTTATAGTCATTATTTATCTTAAAGAAGAAATACTATACTTACTTATGGCTTATTCGCTACTTTCAGCTGACTTCGCTCTTTCAGATTTCGTGCTACTCAGTTACTTTAAAGATACATTAAATAAATACCCAAATATAACAAGTTCAACTAAGCAATAATTAAGGACTCAACTTGATACCTTCTGATGGATACACAAAGACATTTTAAAATTAGATTAGACTTGGTGTTGAACATTGTGGTGACCTCTTCTTACATTTTCTGTAGAGAGAAAAATGGAATATCTTCCTATCTGGGGTGTGGGTGTGGATGTGGGCGTGGGTGTGGGTCAATATAAGATGTACATCCACACCCACACCCACACCCACCCACACTCACACCCACACCCCACACCCACACCCACACCCCACACCCACACCCACACCCCACACCCACACCCCACACCCACACCCATATAGATCAACTAAAAATACACTGATTTTTACGGATTCAAAAAAGCTCTGGCTATTTTCTCAGCTGTTTCTAATTAACTATTCGAAACAAAATAAACTATATACCTAAATTCATCTTTTATTCATGAAAAAGATATAAAAACAAAAAATATTTATCTGGAATTAAACTGAAAAAAAAGAAGGTTCTTTTCATGAATTGGCGAATTTGATTCGTCGCTTGTCTTTGCAAAAAATGTTAATAGCATGATCTACATTTATGTTGACTACAATATCACGATGAGTATGAATCGAAGTGAGATCACTTAAATAATATTAACTACATTCTTTTGATGTTTATTAAACCTTTTATCTAGTTCTGATAATGTTGTTTGAATAAATATTTTGTAAGTATGTTGTAGATAAGGTGCGGGTATGAGTGAGTATGAGTGTAGATATCATTCTTCTCTTCATCTAA